TCTCTTAATTATTTCATCCAACTTGAACTTTATATCAGCTACTGATGTAATACAGACTATATATAACTATCTTATAGTCTGAAAGAATAGATCTTTCTCTGTATTTAATAGTCTGATTATATTATTCAATAGTCTTTCTGTCTTAATAGTTCTTTATTAAATGTAATATTTAAAATTTAACTTGAAGTTTAATTATACTTCTGATTATTTAATATTTACACTGAGTTTAATCTCTCTATTTAAAAGAGTTAGAGATAGTTCTTTCTCATTGAATTTAGAAAAGAAATGAATTAACTCAGTTTTATTTATATTAAATTAAATTTAATTAATATCTGTTTTAATAAAGATTTTCTTTACAGCTTCTTCAATTATTTTTAAATTCTCTTTAATAATTTTTAAGCTGTAGACTAGATTAATATTATTTATATAACTCAGAGATCACACTATTCTCATATTTCTATTTTTGAATAAATATACAGTGTATATTATAAATAAAATGAGTGAGATTGAAGATTCTTACAGTACTTCTATTTTTATCTCAGTTTTATCTTATTTCATTTTATTAAAGAAAAGTTGTATAATTCTTTTAAATATAAAACAGTTAACTCATTTTATTAGAGAAAATGATAGTTTTAATATCTTTAATATCTGAATTAACTTTGACTTTGAAACATGATTAAATACTTCTTTTATATTAATAAAAACTACAGTTGAGATCAGATCTTCATACTTTGTTATTTAAATATTATAAATAACTGAGAGAACAGTATTAATTATAAAACACTGTTTTCTATCTCTTATTTATTTACTGAATAAAAGAGAATTACTGATAGAGCTTATAAAAGATAGTTAAGTAGTTATTATCTTTTCTAAAATCTTTTCTAGACAGTTTAATAGAGATATTACTCTATATAACTTAAGAATTAAAGTTTTTCTATTAAATTTTATAAGAATCACTTCAGTGACTTTTCTTCAGTATTCAGAATAATATTCATTTTTCAAGAGATTAAAGAAGAGCTTAAAATATTCATTCTTTAAGTAGAAGTATATATTTTGAATAATTAAGTGATTAATTGAATCAGGCTCTGCAACAGTCTTAACTGAACTTGAGAAGATAGCTAACTCTAATTTATCTTGAGTAAGATTAGGTCATTCTTAGTCATTTTCATTAATATAGTTAAGAAGTGATATATTCTCTTTCTCTGAATCTGAATCTGATGAGTTTTGAAAGAGAGTTCTTATAAAAGCTTGATATTTTTTCTTAAAAGAGTTTGCTGTATATAATTCATTCTGAAACTTATATTCTAAGATTGAAAGTTTTATTACACTTCTTATTTTAGTATAGTTAAAAGCTTTAAAAACTTCTTTTTCTTATACTTCTTTAAGAAATTTATTTCAGCAGTCTGTTTTAGCTTTTTTAATATCTGAAAAATATTCATTTCTGACAGTTTTGAACTCTTTATCAGAAATTATATCATTCTTTCAATCTCTTCTAGTAGTAGTCAATTATTTTCTTTTAGATATAATATTCTCATTTTATCAAGATTTTGAATACTCAGAAGTCTTTCTCTTTAAAATATTATCTTTAACACTTACTAGAATAATAGATGTA